AAGGACGTCGAGTACAAGGCCAACATCGCGGCCAACGACGAGCTCGTCAAGAACAAGCGTGTCCAGAACTTCCTCGAGAAGGGACATCCCGTGAACCTCAACATCTCGTGGGGCAACCGCGGCGAGCGCAAGCCGCTCGGCCTCGAGCTCTACGACCGCATCCTTGCCTACATTGAAGCGCCGTACGTCGTCGGCAAGTTCAAGGTCACAAACCATGGCGCCCGCGCCCGCCTGAACCCGACGAAGCGCGCGACGGCCAAGTCCACGGAGCGAGATGACACGGTCAGCGAAGCGTAGAACTTGAATCTGATTGTACATACCACCACCACATCTATCAGTTGGTGGCCACGGTATTTCGGCACTCCGCGCTCGCCCACGCGCTCGCCCTATCCCATGGCTTACACAAAGACGTGACGCGTTTGCTTCTCATATTGGAGGAGTTTGGGACATGGAAGACATGAACTGCAATCATGTCTAGAAACTATACTGTAGCGTTCTCTCACGCCTAAACCGCTTCAATATCTTCTCTTGGTCGCCTCGGAACGCTCATGACGGGCTATTGGAGCGGTTGAAGATATAAAAACTCGCTACCCTTTCAGTGCTTGTACCATTGCAACAGCCAGCGCTCGCAGACCCCGCGTCACTTGCCCTGATCACCGATATTATCCTATGTTATGGAGCGAGGACTAGACAGAGTAGATCTAGTACTTCAACATGATGGGCCGAGCTATCGGTTCGCGTTTTGAAAGAGCAGCGGGATACTACGCGTCTTCGCCTTAGGTGAGGGGTAGGTTTGCTCTGGCAGCCAACACGAACCCGTCCAGTCTTTCAACATACATCTACTTTGGGTTTGCTGGCACGGACAACGAGCCATACGGTTGTATCGGTGAGCTCGCCGCAACGACGTTGGAGTAGAGTATCGTGTTATAACGTGGGTTCGCGTTGGCGGTCACTGTGCACGTACTTGTAGCGGCCCGTCGCTGCGCCTCGACAGCACCGAGCCAGCTTCCAAGTTGATGTCGAGGCTAGCTACTGAACGCGATCTTTCTCCAGTTCTCTTGGAGGTCCTCCACTGTGTCTGCTCGCTGCATCCTTCACCTTTACGGAACTGGATACCGGAATAGCCAATCAGAGCGTGCAATCACGAATCATCGCTTTGGATTGGCTCGGTTGTTTCGGTCATTCTTGCACTGGCCGCAGCAACCCAGCAACCATGATCCAGGCGGCAAGCAAGCCAACGAAGACGAGCTTTGACGTCCTCGGCAGCGCGCTGGCTACGCTCAACGTCGCCATGACGTCGCACTTCATTTCCGATCACCTCGACATCATGCCATCGATGGCGTTGGCCCATTCGCTGCACGCGACATTGATGACCGTCGGCTGGGAACCGTTGGCACGAGCGATGACGACCATGCTCACTCGGTGGCACAAATACACTTCGGACCGTCCGCTCAGCCACAGCTTCCGCCTCGTCGCAAGCTTGGCCGGCGTCGCGGATCATCCCGTCTGCCCTCGACTGGACCTTCCATTTGTGTCGGAGCTCATCAAGCTCTGCTGGCCTGTCAACTCAAAAGACCTTCTCGCCCCGGGTGACGTTAAGGACACTGCCATGACGCGCGCGGGTTCATTTCATCTGTTTTGCTCCTCGAAGCGCACGTCCTGTCGGGCGAAGGTTGGTTCACGAACAAGCTGCCGACGATCTTGTGCATCGAAATCGACACGTACCTCCTCCCGGCGAGCACGATCGAGCAGCACATCGACCACTGGATGCGGCGCGAACCGTTCGACGTCGTTGCGCCATCGTTGGTAAGCGCAACGAAGCGCAACCCGCAGCTGCGCATCAACAAGAACCGAGCGGCGCCTGCCGGCGCGCTTGCCAGCATCTCCGCCAAAAACATGCGCAACGTGTGGGGCGTTGCAAGCGCTTTGGCACTGGTAGCACAGCCATGGCCAACGACGTTGCTTCAGAGCCTCTGGGAGAAGATGGGTTTGGCGTTGCTCCCGGTGCTCTATACAACTCTAGTCACACACGACTTGGCTCCGGTCGCAGGCCTCTCGGACGTCTTCATGCACGCAGCGTAGGCCTTTGAAGTGCCGCGCTACCAGGGCCGGTTGTTGGCGCACAGCTACGGAGCGTCCTCGCTGCTGCGAGGCCCAGTGCACGCATGCAGCTCGACCCGTCTCGTCCTCGACGCCCTCGGATACTTTCGCCTGTACGACGCTGAGAAGCGGTCGGCGTTTGTCGACGCCTTTCTTGCTGCAACGGCCTCAAAGCTCGAAGCCAACGCCGTCTTCCGCAACCTTGAGCTTCAGTAGCAGCAACCAGTCGCCGCTTGGCCTTGCCACCGCAAGCGTCGGTCGCTCGAAGAATCGCTGCACGTAGCGCAACAGATTACCGACTGACGAGCTTGGGCCGCCTTGTCAAATCACGATGTCGTTGTAGCCCACCGAAACGTCGCCATGCTGACGATGGTTCGTTTTGGGGTGTTGGTTGTTATGAGCTCCATCCGCTTTTTGGTGTTGTCAGCGACGGCGGCCGCTTGCGCGCTGGAACATGCATGCCTCGACGTTTGTTGCTGCACGAGACAAGCTATGCCGCATGCTCGATGGACGCCATGGGCAAGGTAGGATCCACGTGCATGGAGCTCCGAGGACTGATAAAATCACAAATCTAGCATAGTTCAACTGTTGTGTATTACGACTAACCTACTTTAACGGGCGGACGATTCGAGTACCGTTTTACTCTTCGGCGCCCTGGGGCTCTTGGCTGCGGCCCATCTGACGGCCTGCCCGCATGACCTCGTCGACGAGCAGCAGCTGCGTCGCGAGCGCCGACGCCAAGTGGATAAACTGGCGCTTCACGCGGTAGTTGTCCAAGACGCCTTCCTGGAGCGGCAGCATCGGCTCGCCCGAGAAGAGGTCGAGGCCCACGGCCTTGCCCGACGCCTTGTGCTCTTCGAGGCACGCCAAGAGCGCGTCCTGCACGTCCAGACCCGAGTTCTCCGCGAGCACCTTGGGAATGACGAGGAGCGCGTCCGCAAACGCTTGGACGCCGAGCTTGGCGCGGCCCTTGACCGTCTCCTTGAACGCGTAGAGGGCCTGGTGCGCGGCAAACTCAAAGGTGCCGGCGCCGGGCACGACGCCGTTGTCCTCGATCGTGTTGTTGACGGCGCGGATGCCGTCGCGGATCGCGTCCTTGATCTGCGCGATCGTGTGTTCGTTCGGGCCCTTGATGAGAATCGAGCACGACTGCGGGTGGCGCACGTCCTCCACAAACGTGTAGTGGTCTTCGCCGAGCGTCTGCTCGTAGACGCGGCCAGCATACCCGAGCATGTTGGGCTCCATGTCGTCGGTCGAGTTGATGGCCATGCCACCGCAAGCGAGCGTGAGGCGCTCCATGTTGCGGCGCTTGGCGCGGCGGAGCGCAAGGATACCTTCCTTCGCAAGCATGTCGAGCGAGAGCGGGTCGATGCCCTTCTGGTTGATAATGACAAACGACGCCTTGTTCTCGTCCGTGCACACGTGGCGCTTGAGCTCGATGATCTGCTTGACCTTGTCGTCGGTGAACTTGCGCTCGGCCTCGACCATCTTCTCGCGCTGCTCGGCGCTGTTGTAGAAGAAACCAGAGTTGACTTCGCTCTTCTCGTACTCGAGCGAGACGTTGCACGTCATGATGAAGCAGTTCTCGAGCTCCGTGGGCATGTCGGGGTGGCGCGAGCCGTGGTCCAAGACGAGACCCTTGATGAGACGCGTGTCGGCCGCGCTCTGGTGCACCATCTAGTCGCATTGAACGATGTATGAGGATGCGGCATGGAGAGCGAGGCTCAAGACGTACGTGCATGATTTCAATCATATGCAAGTCGATGGGGCGGCCGGGCGTCGCAATCGTAAGGACAGCGTCCGTGACGATCTCCGTGAGCTGGTCCGCGAGCTACAGCAACAATAAGCAACTGATAAGAGCCAAGCGACGACGTACTTGCTGGTCCAGCTTGGTGCGGAGCGACGTGCGGGCCACGCTCGCGAGAAGCTCGCGGTCCTGCAAGATGTCCTTCTTCTCGACCTGCCCGCGGACATGAGCCACGGTACATTGCAGAAACGAGTACCTTGATGTGGTCCAAGACGCGGAGCGCTTCTTCGCGCGCGAGCTCAAAGCCTTCGGCAAGCACACGCGGGTGGAGGCCGTCCGAGAGGAAGCGCTCGGCCTGCTTGAGGAGCTCGCCCGTGAAGAGCACGGTCGACGTGGTACCGTCGCCCGTGATGTCGTCCTGCGCCGTCGCGGCGCGCGCGATGACCGCGGCCGTCGGGTGCTGGATCTGCATCTCGTGCAGGAGCACGTTGCCGTCCTTCGTGAGCTTGATCTGGCCGGCGCCGCCCACGAGCATCTTGAGCGTACCGCGCGGGCCGAGGTTCGACTTGAGGACGCCCTGGAGGCCCTTGGCCGCGCTCACGTTGACGAGGAGCGCCTGGGAGCGGGCGACGACCTCGGCGTTGGGGTTGACTGTGCGGACGCTGGACATTGGAAAGCCAAACTGCGAATGACCGATACTTTAATCGAGTCAAATCCCATTCGTGGTCCCGCCGCCCAAAAAAAGCCCTAAGCCTCCGTCTTCTGATAGGATGGGGTATCGTGAGATAGAGGTTTCCCGGCAGCGGCTCGCCCGGATGGCCGCCGCCTGCCATCGTGCGGCCGCGCGCCGACGAGATGGGTCTCATGTACCATACCATGTTCTTGGCCATGGGCATAGGTGATTTCTCGAGAAGCCTCGCCGCGCGCATGTGCGGCGTCGAAGGCGAGGAGCGTATCTGCTCTGCTGGCATCTCTGTCAACCATGGACAGGGCCATACCGTGTATCTCGCCGTGCAATGGTAGCACCGAGCGAGAACCATGGTGGGCATGCTCGCGCGCCGCAAGCGAGAAGATTGCAAGGCGAGGCATACTCGCGACCTTGAAGATGACAGGACGCGCTCGAGGCTCAACAACGAGCTGCATATACATGACTGCACGAAGAACAAGCAGCGATAGCGGGCGAGACACACGAGGATGAACAGCACAGCAGCATCGACACCATGAGCTCACATTGCATTTTGTAAGTCAACGAGGGTGCTACAGCGGCAGGTGTGGGAACTTGATCGCTTTGATGACACCGTCCTTGCCACACGCGAGAAGCGACACGGTGTTGAGCCACTCGATCGCATGGATGAGCCCTTGCTGCGTATCGGTGCGTGCGACGACGTCGAGTGTCTCGAGGTCGACTACGTACACGGTGCTCTCGGCGACGCACGCGGCAAAGCGGCCGCAGACTTTGAGATGCGGGATCCACTGCGACGTCTGCAGTGCAACGCTATTGGTGGCTTGCTGTGATCGCTCGCTCTTGGTATTATGTGCTGCGTTGCAATAGACAAAGAGTTGGCCATGGCCCGTGGAGGCGACAAGGTGCCCGGCGGCGGAAACTTGGAGCTGGTAGATGGCAACGCCAGCGTCGATCGTGCGCAGCAGATGCAAGGTCGCCGCATCGAAGAGGTGGATCGTGCCATCGTTCGAGGCGCTCGCAACGACATCATCGTCAACTTGCAGAATGCTCTGCACGGTCTTGCGGTGGTAGCTCGGAAACGTGTGCAATGGCGCGCCGATAGCCTCCTGCTCCAGCGACCATACCATGAGCGATGCGTCTGAGGCGCCGCTCCAGCAGCGTAGCGTTGGAAGGAGGAGGAGCCAGCACGACACGTACCCGCGGTGACCTGCCAGCACGCGGAGGCAGACATACGCCTGGAGGTCCCAGAGCCGCAGCGTGTGGTCTTCGGAGGCACTCAGCGCGGTCACGGCGTTGACGAAAGCGACCTTGGTGACGTGCCCGCCATGACCGTCGAGGCGTTTCCGGAGGCGGAAGTCCTTGGCGCAGAGCCAGACGCCAATCGTGTGGTCGTGTGAGCCCGAGAGCAGGTGCTCTTTGGAGAGAGCCACCGCGCAAACGACGTCCTTGTGCCCTTTGAGCACGTGGTGGCAGTTGAACGAGCCGCGCGACCAAATGCGAAGCGTCATGTCGATCGAGCACGAGACAATGTACCGATCGTCCGAGGCGAGGAGCGCACAGACACCACCCGCATGCCCGTAGAGCGTCTGCGAGACGCATTTTCCGAGATCCGGCGTCTCGGCCGCGGATACCAATCGCGTTGAAGAGGACGAGGACGAGGACGATGCGAGGACCGTGGGATCGGACGACGCGGGCTGGTTGGCGATGGGCACCACTGGCGTGAGCGACGACGATGCTGCCGCTGTCGGCACGCGGGCCCGCTTGGTGCGCGGCCGGACGCCGACGGGGCGATTCCAGCGCAGCGGGTTGACGCCAAACCACATCGCACCGCCTGTCTCGTTGTCGGTTTCGAGCTTGAAACTGTACCAGCGGCATGATCGAGTGTGGCACTCTTGGTTGCGACATGTCTCTCACCGACGCACCACGAAGCGCTTGATAGCTCGCTTGATAGGTTGGTAGGCGCTTGAAGCCCATCGATCGACGGATTGATTCTGATCGATTGGCGGCGATCGAGATAGCCTGGTTCATGCTACTACTACGCCATTGATCAAGCCTCGTGGGCAGAGACATGAAGAGTCGTTGACCGTTTGCGCGTGAGCACCTTCTACGTACTATCGAGCAGAAGAAGCGCCACATCGGTTGTGATGTTGCACCTGCGCTGGCGTGCGAAGACACTGCCAGTGCGTTCTGCCAGGAACAAGCCAACTTCAAGTTGCGCTACTCGGAGCGTCGGCGGTTCGGTCGTTGACGGGCGGTTGACGCGGTCGCTCCTCGTTTACTAGTACGTGCGACCTGCAAGTACACGATTCACACTCCTTTCTTAGCTGCGTAGGTTTCTCACTCGCGCTCTTTGTGGTGCGGACAATGCATCGGCTCCTTCCTCTCGCCATCCTGGTCGGCGCAGGATATGCCAACAGCCAATCAAAGCTCGCAGGCATGCATGCTTGCCGTGGATTGGCTCGTTCGTTTGGCAAAGCTACTCTTTGACTTGGCCAGAACAAAGAGCTTTTCATACGAATTGTACTATTTCCTGCCTTGGGCTCACGGGTCGGTGCCAACCTCGCGACGCCGCTCGCTCGCGACGGACCAAGAGCATTCGCTTCGTCTGCACATACCAAAGGTACACTGGAAGAATGACTGAGCCGGCGCGCATCGTTTTTCTTCGTCGGCCATGGCATGCGGTCGCTGCCCTAGACGAGCACTCGACGTGACGGAGCTCATGCCAGCTTCGCGTATCAGACCGCGTCGTCCAGGCGCGAAGCCTTGTGCGCGCCCCTTGATGAACCGCGCGACCGTGTCGCATCCGTCGCTGCCGACCCGGACCGCGATCGTTTTGAGGCGGTTCGAGGTTGTCAACGCCGCGGCCAACGGCGACGGACTCGTCGACTTGTCTTCAAGTGACCTGGGTTACTGGACAACCGCCGGCCGAGAGCGTCTCGACGCTGCCATTTGTGGTCATTGAGAAATCGTCCAGCTTCTCCACTTCAACTGCACAGAAGACATCATCCTAATATATATGACGTCTGTTCTGTCGGAGATCTCCTACTCAGCGTCGCCCCCGAGAAGCAGAAGCACCACTCGTGGCATCTGCCACGCATACACGATGCTGTCGTACGTCTTTGCTTCTTTTCCGTGTCTTACAAATGCGCCGCTAGGCCCTTGGGTGGTGGAGATTGCCCTTTCCCGTCCACCATGGAGCCCATCGACGATCGATACACTATATTGCGTACACTTGATACATTTCCAGGTTTGCTGTGCTGCCACGTTTGTATTCAGGACATCAGCGTTGGTTGTGTTTGTGAGCAACAATCAAGCTGGACATTTGCGATGCGCTCGTGCTGCGTGATAAGCTCCATTGCGCCAAAGATCACCGACAAGAAGAGAAAGGGTGCTACACGGCCGTGGGCACACTATATTTTGCTTTCTAGAGCATTCTATTTACATATATTTTATAGTATAAGAATGATCTATTAGTGTGTATGACTTGAACACGGAGATAGTGTCATTATTGGACTGAGCGGCGACCATGCATATATTTGCTACCGTACCTCTTGCATCCGGATGTCCGGATGCGGTGCCAGATCGAAGCCGTTGGATCCGCGATGGCGAACATCCATGCCAAGTTTGCGCTGCCGACCGAGCACTGCTTTGCGCGTCTGCATCTGTACGCATAAGCTCCTCGATGGCCTCTGATGGGCGCGGCGATAGGTCGCTGATCGTGCCATCGACCAGCGCCGACAGCTTTGAGTTGCAGCCGATGCAAACCAAGCTCGCGCTCTCGTCTGTGCTCAAGCAGGTCTTTGGCACCGTCGCCGTCGCAACACACCCGTTCGACTTGCTCTCGCACGAGCGCAGCCATCGGACGCTGCACCGGTACACGTGCATCGTGCGCGTCGAGGCGAGGTACATTCGTCTGGATGCGTCTGCGACCATACTCCTGCTACGTAGGTCCATGTCGACGCTCTGGGGTGCGTGGGCCATGGTAACGAGCATCGACAAGATGCCGTGCAAGGTCGAAGTGCAGCAAGTCGGCGCGACGCTCATGGACCTCGCGTCGCCGCGCTACCTGGACCTGTAAGCGAATCACATTTATCCTATGGATTTGCCGCCTTGTCGCTATGTGACTACATGCCATTTGCGGGCCCCGTCCAAGCCCTTGCGATGCGTCGAGGTCTGTCTGGACGTCCTCGCCTCTTCCCGCAGCGCACCGAGTGCACGTCGACTACGACAGGTGGGTGGTTGCATACGCCGGTGGCATTCGATAAATTCCTGTGAGCCGCAGGATACTGCTCGCACATCAACCTCCTTGCTCTTGCCACTTGGCCACTGTGTCGAGCGAGGCAGTGTTGCTCGCCAAGTGTAGCTGCGAGCCAATCTACCGAATACGCGTGGAGGCTCTAAACGACAGCGTAGGCACCCGACTCGAGAGTAGTAGTGGTGTCAACGACGCAACCCAAAGAAGAACCTTTCCTCGCGGGCCATATCGCCGGCAGCAGCGGGGCGCTTGGCCTATTTCCAATCGCTCGCGCGAGAATCCGCTGCCTGGTTGAGGTCACGGGCCGTCCGAAACAGACGAGTCACCAGCGTCAAGCAACCCGTTGAGAGCGACCTGCACAACCCAACCTACCTACTACGGTACCGGTTTTCCAGAAGTATCTGGGCGCTGGACGGCTACACCCCGACCAGCCTACCACAACCCGTAGTAGGGGTCCGAGTCGAAAAATAGAGCGCGTTGGTCGTTTGGTGTCGCAGCGGTGCGTTGTCTGTGGTTGTGTTGTCTCCATCCAACCCCATCGAACAACAACGACAGTCGCACAGATGATGGACACTCAACCTTGGCAGGGTCGTAGCTCCACATGTTGACACTCGGTAGCACTCGTCGTCGCAAATCAAACCAACGGCAATACGAGCCGTCATCGCGGCCGCTGCGAGTCGCAAGGCAGTCGACTAAAGCGTCGACTTGCAGTCGTTTTGCATGTGCCAAGTGGGTTCGATCCCTGCGCACTCGATTCACGAGGGTTACACATGCCTCGACTCCGCCGCGCAGTCGTCAACGACGCTCGGACTTCGCGAATGGTTGCTAGTATCGCAAGCGACGAGAGAAGGCGACGCTTGCTTCGTCCACGTACTACACGGTACGGCTTGGACGTCGTCGATGGCACTTGGCACCGTCTTTTCGGCGCCTTGCGGCAATATTTCGTGCAAATCGCGGGAATTTGCGCGTGTAACAGCACTGTGCACACGATTGTGGGCCGACAATAAAATACAGCGTTTTGGCCGATAAACTTCGTGTTTGTATACAACGACCACGGGACGTGGAAAAAAATTGGAAAAAAGGCCAACTGGATAGATTTTCCAGCCAGAACGCGATCGCACGCCATATTGGCAAGCCCAGCATGGTCGCCGCCCACGCCGCCGCCGAGGGCACCACAGGAGAAGCAACCAAACAAGAGACGCCGACGCCGACAACGGTAGCGCCGTCGAGTACGCCGGCGCCAACGACTGCGCCGAACACGAATAGAACCTGCTCTGGCCCCCCGTGCCTTTTGACGTCCAACCTCATTGCCTGCCCCGGTGGTCCCGCGCCAAAAGACGTGCTCATCTTCTGCCCGCAGCAGGAGTCGGTGCCGGACAACTGCTGCAAGGTCGACTCCATGAGGCCGCTCAACGGCAGCGGGTCGTCGCACAACCAAACCATCAGATTTACGTGCAAGGGCGAACACTGGATGCCGGACAGCCCGTCGATCGCATGTCTGCCAACGAACGCGACCGCGACGGAGACGACAGCGCCGACGGCCACAGCGACGATGGGGCCGGCGATACCGACGTCAGAGTCGTCGTCGTCCAACACCGGTGCGATTGTCGGGTCGATCGTTGGCGTTGTCGCGCTGGTCGCGGTCGTCTTCTTTGTCATTTACCAGCGCAAGAAGAAGCGCGCGGTGCGGTCGCCCGACTTTCCCGACCACCAGGACTCGTACCTCGGCATCGACTCGGTGGACGGCGCGCCCAAGGCCATCAAGGCGTCGTCGCCGCCGCCGGCCACGTCTGCGACGACGTCGACGTCGACGGTGGTCGCGGAGCCCAAGCCGAGGCACACGGAGTCGCTCCTCACGCAGCTCTCGCAGCGCGACGACCTCAAGCCGCTCTGGATGGACATTGAGACGCTCAAGACGTCGGCGATCAAGGGCGGGCACAACCTCTTTAGCTGCAACGTGCACGGGCAAAAGGTCGCGCTCAAGGGCATGGACTACCCGACCGCGTCCGTCGAGTTGCGCGCCGATTTCATTCGGTCGATCCACGACGTCTGCAAAGTGCAGTCGCAGTCCATTACGTCCATCTCGGGCGTCTGCCTCATGAACTTCCAGACGCGGCTCTGCGCCGTGTCCGAGTTTATGGAGAAGGGCGCGCTGAGCGCTGCGCTCCTCGACGCGACCCTCGTCCTCTCCAACGACCAGAAGCGCGCGATGGCGCTTTCGCTGGCCACCGGCTTGGCGTACCTCCACGAGTCGCACAAAATTGTGTTCGGCCACCTCACGAGCGAGAAAGCGCTCGTCAACGCCCACCTCCAGTGCAAGCTCAACGTCTTTGAGCTCATGAAGCGCGAGTATCTCGACACGCGGCCGTGCAACACGACGTTCGGCGCGTTTGAAGTCCCGTACCAAGCGCCCGAACTCCGCACGTTGTCGCCGCCCACGACGACGATGGCCACCGACGTGTATGCGCTCGGTGTGCTCATCGCCGAAATCTTCACGCGCGACCGGCCGTGCAAGGCGCTGTATGCAGAGAAGGGCCTCGTCGCCGGCGACCTGTACCTCTACGCCCACGTCGAGACGCCGGCCTTTGACCTCGCGGCGCTCCCGTCCAGCGTTGCCGACATCGTGCGCCAGTGCTGGCACACCAACCCCGCAAAACGCCCCAGCAGCAGCGCGGTCGTTGCAGCGCTCAAGTAGGATCTTGCGTTGATTCCATCAATAACGAAAGTGTTTATACGAGACAGGTTATCTGCAACCGCATGTCGAGCACAAAAATCGCTCAGTTTTCGTCGGGCGGGGTGGGGTAACGTCTAGGGGTCGGTCAAGTGGTCCGACGCAGATCTAAGAACTGATTGGGACGAAGCCTCGAAGCTTTGGAGGCTGTGGATGGGCAATGGGATGTACTGGATGCGAAAGTGCTTAGGAACCAACGGACTGCTGGCGCCGTGGCCCCAGGGTTCTCCTGTAAAGTCCCCTCTTCATGGCTTTTTGGTCGGACGATCTTGCTGATAGATTGATACAATACATTGTCGGGTCCTGGGCTGGTGGTTAAGAGCTGCGTAAAATATGAGGATCCAGTGTTACGGTAGAGGCGTCAACTGCCGCAGCTCACTGTCCAAGCTCCAAGAAGGAACTGGGAGCGACGAGATTGATGGACGTCAGCGACTAGTTCAGGTTCAAGTGCTGCGAGCCCATTGTCTCTCGCATACTCGGAGACTATCCTGTACTACATGCTAGCAAGACACGACATGGCATGTGCATGGGTCGAGTCGCTCATGCTCAACATGGCCGGAGGTAGTTCTAGCAAAAGCAGAGAAACACTGGACGTAGATCAAAGTGGTTTTCAACGCCACCCACGGGAGCTGCTGCAATCCGCCCACTCGAGTTTGCACCCCGCAGCGCATTTTGCTTCCGAGACACGAGCCGTCCCACGCACTCATCATCCAAGCAAGCCTCGTCCATGCGACGGTGACAGTGGTGTCGAATGCAAGATTCCGTGGAATGACGTGTTGTGCAACGTCAACACGACAGCGAGGACACGATCAGCGGGCCAGAGGAGTACCACAATCGATCAATGCAACTCGCCGCTGGTGCTTGGGACAGACAAGTCGTCGGGGCAAGCGTGGGTGCAGGGAGAGCGGGCAACGAGGTTAGTAAAAGACATTGGCGTGTGGGAAATATCGGAACCTCTGGTATATTGTCGTCGTGTTATCATCACCACTGGCGGGCTGCTGAAGTCAGGACAAGGGACAACGCCAATACATTTAGAAGCGGAGCTTCTTGAAGAAGAACGAGACGCCAGCGGCCTTCTTCTCCGACTTGCACGCAGCCTGGTTGAGGTAGCGGTCCTCGAAGACCTTCTTGATCGTCTTGCGCGACTCGATACGGGCCTCCGGCGTGGCCATGACTTCCTCATCGAGGACCTTCTTGAGGTCAATGTCGGCGACGTAGCGCGTGGGCATGATGTGCGTGTAGTTGACCGCCTTGACGAACGGCTTGACCTTCGAGCGCTTGGCGACCTTCTTCTTGCCCATCGAGCGCGTGATCTTGCGGGGGTAGCGGTCGATACCGGCGACGATGGCGTGGCCGAACTTGCGGTCGCCGTGGCCCTCATCGTACGTCTTGACGACGATGGCCTTGCGGCCGGCGTAGCGGCCGTTCAACAACACAACAACCTTCCCGTTCTTGACACTACAAGAGTCATGAGCTTCGTCTGTACATCGTAGTGGCGCAATGGCAGCAAGGACGACGACGACGACAACAGCGGCGACAGCAAGATATCGCGTCGAATGGTAGACTTCGCCGCCCCATCGGCGCATGCAACGCACACCTAGAGAACCGCGCGAGCGTCGTCTTGCTCATGTTGACGCCTCATCCTTGTCGTCGTCGTCGTTGTCGTCGTCGTCGCATGCCATTGCTGTAGGTGGTAGTTCACTTACATGCCCATGTTAGCTCTTTTAATGTCAGAGAGTGTTCCCGTTTAAACTAAGCCGGCCGACGAGACACCGGCGCCGACGAACGACTTGGTAACCAATCAACCACACGGACCAATCACCGCGTGGCAAAATTATTGAAAGAGAGAGGATTTACCTCTCAGAACGCATAATCTCGAGCCGGCTATCGACCAGTCAGCGTATTTGAGTGGAGGGCGGTCCGGCCCGAATTTTGACCAATGAAAACGACGAACCGTAATCCCAGGTTGGATTGGCTATTGCATCGGCGGCAACGACGCCAAGGCGACGCGCCGGCCATGCTGGCGCCGCTGCAAAGGACATGAGGCTCTGCATGGCAGTGAAGCCGGGCGTGGCGATGCATCTGCCTGGCTCTGGAAGTGGCAATGAGGCGCTTGGCGCCACCTCGGCGTGGCCATCGTGTGTATAACGATGTGCTGGCTGCCAAGGCCATGGCCCGCGAATCTGAGGTACTGGAGGCACCAGGCTGGCCAGTAGATGCGCATCGTCGTGGCTCTGCTGTGAACTAGAGAAGCCTTGCAACTGCTAGCGTTACCTATGTCATTGGAGACGTCCTGGCGACGAACAACGAACGGGCTGGCACGTGCAGGCAACATGATGATGATGACGATGTATGATGGTGGTAAAGTCACGAGTATTCGACGTTGGCGATGGCAGTTGGCAGTGTATGGAAGAGTGCAACGAGGTGAGAGATGTCGAGAAAGGAGTTGCGTCTGGTGGTCAATGTGGATGCTTCCACGTCGTGACGGCGCGGTCAAGAGATGCGTTTCGTGTGGACCGAGACACACGAGGGGCTACGCACTGGACAAGCCACCGCCTTGGATGACACCAGCTCTGCGGGTCGTAGTGCGGTTGTGATGCAGTTCTTAGCAATTCGATTGCGATGTACGTGTGTGCGCTTCAACGTCCGTCGCACCCATACGCGTAGCAGACGCAAGTGCACGTTCTGCAACGCTGTGTCGGCAAACAATCTACCAGCGAGCTCAGCGCAGCAACGGAGAAGCACTACTGGTATTCGCTGCGTTGTCCATGCAAGTCGATGTCCATGGAGACGAGGAATGGCATCCGTGCCAAGGAGACGTCATGTGGCTTGCCACTTCAGGCTCTGCACAGAGTGGCGCTACAATGCATGCATCCCTAGCATCGCCGCCGATGCACGCACTCGATTCATGGAAGCTACCGCGATCATGCACGCGAGCCTTCGCGTCCTGCGTGAACCCGGCCGTCAACCATCCCGCTTCCTCGGTTCCGTCGCCGGGCACCGCGTCGATGACCGCATTGGGCGTCTGCTCACATGCCATGCCCACATGGACCAAGCCCATGCTGCCGTACAGCCATGGCCGTCTGCAGCGGATCGCGCGTGGCACTTGTCACTTGGGCCGCGTCCTGGTCTGGGTCCTGGCCACCTTCGAAATGGAAGGATTTCGACCAATCGCAGACGGCGCTTTGCTTTTGGTGGCATTCTGTGGTATCGAGGAGACGCACGGGATGGGGAAGAAGAAGCGCAAGGATGGCATCGATGAGCCCAAGATCGCCAAGGTCTACTGCTACTACTGCGAGCGCATCTTCGAGGACGAGAAGGTCCTCATCATGCACCAGAAGAGCCGCCACTTCAAGTGCAACTTTTGCAACAAGAAGCTCTCGACGGCCAGCGGCATGGTCGTCCACGTCGCGCAGGTGCACAAGGAGACCATCTTGACCGTGCCCAACGCCAAGCCCGGGCGCGACTCGGTCGAGGTCGAGGTCTACGGCATGGAAGGCGTGCCCGGCTACTCCAAGGTCGACAACGACCCGAACAAGCGCGCGCGCCTCGAGACGCCGACCTTGTTTCCGCGGCCGCCGGTCGCCGCCTACCCGATGCAAATGCATTACCCTGTCGCGCCGCCCGTCGTCATGGGACCGCCGCGTGGCCCGCCGATGGGGTTCCCGATGCGTCCTCCGCCACCGCCGCCGCACCTCCTCATGCGCGGTCCGCCGCCCATGATGATGCCGCCTCACATGGCATTCCCGCCCGGCGTTGTTCCTCCGCACATGATGGCCCCGCCGCCCCTCGCCGCCGCCATGACCAGCGCGTACGTTCGAGCATGTTGCATGCCAGGTCTCTCATGATGCACGCTTGGATAGGCCCGACGCGCCGACTTCGACCGCGAGCAAGGACGAAGAAGCCTTCGAGGTCGTTTTGGCCGCGCCGCAGCCCGGCATCACGTTTGTGTTTCCAGAAGACAACATGTCGATGGTGCGATGTCTTCATCTCATCTTTGCTGACCACGATCCATGTCTTGTAGGAAGAGAAGCGAGCCCTCTTACCAAAGTACCGCACGTACACGAAAGCGCATTGAGATGCTTCTTACGATCGTCATTTACTCATGCAGCCTCGTCGCCCCGCACTGCAGGGGTGTTGTTGTCGTTGTCGCCGTCGTTGTAGGTGTAGTTGTTGCCCGTCGTGACCGTGTTGCTAGGCGTGGCATACCCGCCGTAGCTCGAGCAGTAGTTCTGAAACATCTTGGTCTCCTGGAAGAAGCTCCGCGGTGTCCCTTGCAGCGTGTACTCGGCCTCGACGGGAGTCGTGACGATGGACCGAGTGCCTCGCTTCGAGTGGCGCCCCGACGACGACGCTGGCGACACCAGCGGCAGATCGTACATGTGCAGAAGCATGTCGGAGGCTTGGGGCGACGCCGCCGGCAGCGCTGCCACCGACCCCTTGGACGAGAAACTCTGGCACACGTCTGCATTGCACGGGACGCTCGTCGACGTTTCCTCGGTGTTTCGAAGATACGACCTATCGCATCCTCAGCATCAGTATCATCCTCCATCTCTCGCGTTCAATCGAGCAAGCAGCGTACTTGCGGGCAATACGAATGCGGTCCTTGGCCGTAAGGTGCTGCGGCTGGAGCTCGTCAAAGCCGTTGTTGTTCTGGCCGTGCGGGTCCTGCTCGACGAAGAAGCCCGCAAGGCTCATGACCAGCACGAGGCTCGGCATCGTGAGCGGCGTCAGAATCAACAGCGACGTGAGGGGTGCGAGCACCATGCACGCGAGCATCCAACTCGGCAGCAACGGATCCTTGACGACGACGAGCGTGAGCCACACGAGGTAGAACGCTTGGCCGGTCGTCGAGAGCTGGAAGAGCCGCAGCAGAAACCACGGCCGGCGAAACCAGAACCGCGCGTCGTGGTAGTGCAGCTGCCGGTGGCAGAGCACGGACATTTGCAGGCGGATCGTCGCCCGGACCATCTGCGCGACACCCTTTAGCGTCGGGCGCCTACAGTCGTGTCATCCAGTGTTTGGAATCCAAAGCAGAATCTACCGGCGCTCTGGCGATGGGAGAGGATCAGGATCGTTGCACGACGACCGTTGCAGCATGGCATCAATGTCTTCGCGCGTCAGCACCAAGAGCCGGTCCTTGATGATGCCCTTGAGGATCCGGAGGGTCTTGATCATGATGACAAACGTAAGGATCGCGAGGCACGTGGCGAGCCCGAGGAAGACGTAGGCCGTCGCGGTTGGGAGCGCGCCAGCCGCAAAGATGAGCACAACGAGAACGAAGAACGTCGTGTAGTGCAGATGCGCGACGGTCGCGAGGAGGTGGCGCGTGCAGAGCGTGTGGAAGCGGCGGAAGCTCACGTGGTGCGACGACCGGTGAGAGAGGCCAAAGATGCGCTGCATCTCACTCGGGTTCTTGTACAAATACTTGCTTCGGTATTGGCACACGTTGTACGCTAGTAGCTCAAAGCTCTTCCAGAGCGCAAACTGCTTGAGCAAGTTGAACTTGAAGAAGACGCCTTCGCGCTTGTAGCGCTGCCGCAGCAGACAGTACATGCGCGACGCATGGACAAAGTTGTAGCCTACCGACGATGGATCAGGAGGAGCGACGACAGATTGGCGATAGTACCCGAGGTTTCATCACGCGCGCGCTTGGCGGCGTCGTACTGCCGCGGGTACACGTCGGACAACGGGCTCAAGAGCGCGTCGACCGTGTCTCCGTGCTCGAGCAGCGGCGCCGCGTGCTCGTCGTGCTCGTCGCGGGGCGTGCCGTAGAGCAGCCGTGGCACAACGGTCGCAATGACGAGGAGGAGGAGCATGATCGCCACGTAGTAGACGGTCGTCATGAAGACCACGTAGTGGAAGAACTCTTGAAAGTGCAGCAGCTGAAGGCGCGTGAGGTTGTCGACGCCAAATGAGACTTCCTCGACGAGCCCGCTCGTGTCGATGGCAAAGATGCACTAGTCATGCATGTGAGCCCATCGTCCTCATGCAGCATGTCGTCGTCGTCGTCGTGTACCATCGAGATGAAGCCCATGATCATGAGCTCTTCAAAGAAGCGGTTGACGATGCGCTTCATCTGCGGGCACTGGATCGCGCGCCGCGAGTACGCGAGGATCGCATCGAGCACGACCGAGATGGCGACGATGACGGCGACGAGGAAGGACGCGTAGGCGAGGTGCATCGAGATGCACTCGGCGTTGCCGACGCCGAGGAAGGACGCCTTGGCGCTGCAGGCGGCGACGCCATCGCCGTCGACGCTGGCGCCCATGCAAAAAAGTCAAAATCAGAGCTTGGAAATGGGCCAGAAACCGCCGGTGGGTTGCAGAAAACACGCACCTGCCGCATACAAGGGAAAACCGACCGGACGATCCAGTCGAGGAGGATAGGAGGATAGGAGTTGGATAGATGGATAGTTGGTCGTAGCAGTGAGATCGTTTGGTACTTGGCGGCTTGCGGGATGGGTTGCCTCGTGAGCTGAGGCGTGTGTCGGAGCGTCCGTGGAATGTCATTGAGGACGGAAGAGGTTCCAGGATGCATCCATCGCATTGCGTGCATAGACGACATGGTCTCTCCCATGTCAGTCGAGTTTGGATGACGCGGAGGATACCGGCTGGTGCACCCATGCGTCTCGTCGCTTGGTCGCCAAGACGCGCATGTGACAAATATTCATTAGCAGAGAAGCACGCTTCTGCTTGCTAATAGCGCTCGGATGATGGCAGTGCGTGCTTGTTGGGGCGGCCGGCGACTTGTTTGGAGAGCGAGTCCTCGCACGGAAGGTAGCAGTCGAA